CTTTAAACTCTTTATTTATTTATTTATTTATTTGGGGGGTAGGGGGGCTTAATGTCCTGGATGGCTGAAAACCTATAAATATGTAGGAATTGAATATTTGGGGAGTATCATAACTTAAAGGTCAGCACCAGAGTTTTCTAGAACAATATTCAGGTTTTATTTTGTGGTTTTAAAGGCTCTACGTTGAAGATGGTAAGAAATAAAGTCATACTTTATTATTTTTACTGCCAGCTGCAGTCGCCCCTCTGCTCTCGGCTCCCATACTGAGCTGTCGGCTAATGCTAACGCTCCCGTTTCAAACTCTTCTTATTAAAGAGTTAGAGAGCTAAATGTGATTGAAATATTGGCTGCCTTCGACAGAAAAAGGAGCTAAGTCTATGAAAGCAATGTAGCAGTTTAGCTAGCTTTGATTTCCAACGCATAAGGAGGCATTTTATCACGATTCATCCAAAGTAATGAAATAACAAACTGCGGACAGATTTTTATTAACGTGTTTCACTCTATTGAGCAGTGAAAGTAAATAAAACGTGTTACATGTCTTTTGCTTTAAGTCTTTACTTACTGGAGGGTTTTTTGTTAATGCTGCAGAGCCACAGCTAACAGCTAGCTCCTCCCTTAGCGGATCTAACGGAGCCTGTACCGTTCAGCAGCTGTTGCTCCTCCTACACTTTGGACTGAACCATTGTTCTAACAATAGTGGGGGGACCTAAAAATTAATTCTTGTTTTTTTCTTAGATGAATGGCAGATTTACTTCGTTCTTTGTTTCTATTGCCTTTTGTATATTGATATTGTTTAAATACAAGGGTTTCTTTCATGATTTCTTTGGGGGGGACAATTCTAGACTTTTCCCAGATTGGGGGGTCCGGACGTCCCGATCCCCCGGGATTTACGCCTATGGTTTCATGGAGACACAGGCTCGTTTCCACTGAGCGGTTCGGCCCGGGTCGCCGCGGTTCGGTGAGCCATTTCATGACCCATTCAAGAGAGTCTTTTCACATCCAGAGGGAAGTGAGCAGGTGGGTTAAACCCAAACACCAGCATGCTGTCATATTAGTAGGGACGCATTTCTGTCCTCCAGTCAAGCAGCATCTCCACCCTGACACACCGTTGACCTCTAGGCCTTCGACTGCACGGTGCGGTGAGTCGGTCACAGTGGAAACGAGGCCTTAGTGTTGACCTTGGTGAGACTCTCCCCGGTTCTAGTGACGGGTTTACTTAGCCTGTCACTAAAACGTCTGCTGAAGTAAACATGTCTGTACCTGGTGGTGATTTTGCTTTCATTTCTAAAATAAATGTTTGGTTTGAAACAGTTTGTTATGAAGCTCATTACTCAGTCTTACCTGAGCAGGTGTGGCTAGTTACCGGGGCAACGCAGAAGCAGGCCTGAAAACAGACCAGTTTCTACCAGCAACAATAACAATCACCCGGCGGTTAAAGGCCCCTGAGGGACTGGAGTTTGGCCCCCCGATGCCTGGTTTCCACTGAGCGGTATGGCCCGGATCAGTACAACACACTGTTCCTGGACCGTGTGTGGATCCACAGGTCAACGGTTCGGTCTGGATACGGTGGAGCTACGGGCTTCTCACAGCACCAGTCACTCACTGGGGACAGAAAAATGTCACAGCTGGCGAGAAGCAGGACACACCAGGTTATGTTTGTCCTCACAGTACTGACACCGTGTTGGGCGTTAGGGTTCAACCTGTCCAGCGGGAGTCCAACTGGAGGTGGAAACGTTTCCTTGAATACAGCAGA